CATCGTCTTTGTGCGATCTCAGGAATGCACAATACAACTTCACATTCATCTTCGACTCGACGGGTACCCGCGAAACCGTTGCGTTACTACCTCAAAATGATCTTGCCATGAACGGCGCTGCGGTATCTGACTCGCTCTCGTTCAGGCCCCGCGGTTACTCACTACCGTCCGACAGTCCGCCGAGTCCCTACAGTCCCAGGTGTTACTCTACCTCATCCTTCATCGCGTCGCCGGACGAAAACCGGCCAAATGGTTCCTCCGCTTCTGCGACGACGACTGATCCCCCCTCCGGCTTTCGAACCCTTCAAACGTTGGACCAGCTGCGTGTCCTCAGAGGTAAGTCATTTCCGGTTTTCTCGCCTCTCTTTCCAAAAACGTCCTTTTTCATATGCTTCTACCTTAAATGGCGCATGATTTCTCCAGCGTTCAGAGTTTGCGTCATGTTTGTTTCATCGTCCTTGTGATCCTAGTTGTGTGTAGAGGTCCTAATACCAAGGTATTTGATCAATAATGCCAGATGCTTCTTGCATCATTTTGTTTGCTAGTGTGACTTCATACTCATCATAAGCTGTTTCAGGATCTGACACAATATCCGTTACACGCTACCGTATACACAAAAATGATTCCTACCCTAGAGTTTGTTTAATGCCGCGTAACTCTTCTAGTGCTTGAATCTGTTTCGTTTGAAAATAGATTTATTTCTACTGTAACAGTAAAGTAGAATTCTATTTATATTAAACAATGGTACTGGATTTACACGGCGTAAATGCACAGTGCAAAGAAAAAATTCTCTTTCACTTTACACCAGCAGCTCTGTTGCACCACCCCTTGCCTCTAGACGCCTAGGGTGACCATTTGAGCAGTCCACGGCTGCATAGTATTGAAACGACTGTTTGTGCATTGAACGTAGGACCATGTCTCAAACTGGAATTGAATAAAAGTATATTCAACAAAGACTGCCGCGATCCTAGGAGAACGATGGACAAAGTATATAAGCCCGCTGTTCTTGGAGACCTTTTGATACCGCCGCTGAAGATATCACATTAAACTATTGATACCGGACTGAAACAGCATAAATGCACAGTGTAAAGAAATAAAAATCTATTTCTCACATTACACTAGCAGTTCTGCTGCACAGCCCCCTACACTGTCCTTTTGCAGGGACCATCTAAGCAGGTCATAGCTCCATAGTATTTAAAGTATAAAAAGAGAAAGAGATTTTTCTTTCTTTACACTGTCCAATTTATCACGTTTAAGCAGGACACGGTGCTATTATATGTACCTTCTATTACATGCACCTGCCGTTAGCACCATTAGTGCATTGATGCAAAAATGCACCACTTTGTTTGGTCGAATGAAACCATGTTGGAATACAAATTAATATACCTCAGCTCATATGCATATATTCAAAAAATGTTTTATGCAGTACTCCCTGTAAATTTAGAGAAGCGACAGTAAAGTGTGCAGTACCAATATATTTCATGTTATTACAACACGGTCAGCTTCAGCGTGCACAGTATATTTTAGTATATCACGGCTCAGCAAGGTACCATCATCTTCTCAATGACCGCTTCTCCTTCCTAGTCACGCAGACAGGCGCGTTAGCGAGTGTTTCAAAAGTTCCCGATCCTGTGTCACAGTCTGAAATTCGGAACAAGAAAACTGGAGTCTGGAGCAGACTCCTTCCACATATTTGCACCAGGTTACTCTTGGCCGTCCCTTGAGCTTTCTGCCGGTTGGTTTCGCAAGAAACAGTTGCTTAGCCTTCCTTTCTAGGGGCATTCGCAATACATGGCCGAACTCTCGCAGCTGCGATTTCTCAATCTAAACCTGTAGCAGCAGAGGCAGTACACCGAGGCTCTCCCAGATGTCCGTATTCCGGACCATGTCGAGACGTAAGGCCAGCGACTCGTCTAAGAAAGCCCATTTCAGCAACTTGTACCCGGGTTCGAAGTTTTTCAGTGATGGTCCACGACTTATGACCGTAAGTAGGCATGGGGATAAAGATCGACTTGAACACCGAGAGCTTAGTTTTCAGACTGAGCTCCGCTTTCGTCACAACGGGTCGGGCTAGTTCACGCAGAACGCCACTGGCTACACCAATTCGCCGGACGATCTCTTCCTCCACCTTTCCGTCACAACGGGTGGGGCTAGTTCACGCAGAACGCCACTGGCTACACCAATTCGCCGGTCGATCTCTTCCTCCAACTTTCTACTAGTAAATACAGTTCCGAGGTACTTGAACTTCTCCACCTGTTCCACTGCTTCTCCATTAATCTGAAGAGAGCAACGGGCAGAACAACGAGAAAGCACTAGGTTCTTCTTTTTTAGATGCGTTCACACGGTCATAGTGCCGATCACCTCGCACTCGGCTGCGAACCTTTTTAGGGAGCACTGTAGGTCAGTTTCAGAGGATGCCAATAGAATAGTCGTCTGCAAAGAGCAACCTTCTCGTCTCTAGATCTGTTACCCAAACAGTTTCGCCTTGGCTGCTCCTGATTATTCTGTCCTGACTATTCCATGTACAACACAAACAGGACAGGGGCATGACGCATCCTTGGCGGAGACCAGTGCCAACGCTGAAAGGCTTCGACTTAACGCTATTTCGGCAGAGTTTTAACACCGTATGCTAGCTTATCGTTTTTTCTAATTGTAGGGTAGTGCGGCACAACATAACTTGATATGAAATTATAGGTGAAATGTATTGCCGTATGGTTGGGCGCCAGGTAATACTGTTCAGTAATTGGTCGCACAAAGTTGAGACATTCGGTTTATACTGTAATATAATCCTTCTTTCCTTTCTATCGTATGAAGGTGCTTCGTTTCATGTTGTTTTGCATTACTGCCATACGGTTACGGCTTATTTTAATGTTGCGTAGTGTACTTCAATTTATTACACTGCCATATTGTATGAATACTCAGTGTTGTGTGAAATGTTTTCAATTTGACGATGAATTGACAGTTATAACTGTATAAGAAGGCTCAGATCGAAGCTCCTGTTTCTCAGCTCTCGGAGAAATTTCTTGATACCACAGTTTCCTTCATTCTCGGACTGCTAAGGATAAAATTTTCCAACCGCTATTGGCTTCGCTTCATTGTTCTTAAAAAGCTAAGTTCTTCCCGTATTTCTAATCTCCTGTAAATGATCACAGATAAAGTTTTTAAACTTTGTTCCCGCACTTGAGACTGTCACTGATTCTTCATCCTCTAACAGTTCAACGAAAGTATGATTGTGGCTTCACGTTGATCCGCCATGTTGAAGGATCTAGGCAGTGAAAGAATACTGAAATATCCTGAATCAGTAAATTCTTTTTTACTTGACCTTATAAAGCGAAATTGTTTCTGGAGTGTTTACTTTAAAAGTCTTATGTAGAAATAGCACTCTCGTCAGCGAACATTCATTCAGTTGCTCATTCATTCATTCAGTTAATTAGTTACCCTTATTTATTTTCTCATTACATTCATTCACTAATTAATTTATAACTTCGTAAATTCAGTTATTCAATCGACCAGTCTCTCAGGCATTCATGCAGTCATTTAGTGTTGCATTCATTTATTTATTCATCCACTGATTCATTCATTTCGCAGTCGGTCAGGCAGTCAATCACCCAGTCAGTTGGTCAGTCGGCGAATGCCTCAATCTCATACATTTATTCAGTGTGCAAAACAGATTTAGAGATAGGCTCTTACTTGCTTTTTCATAACTCAGCTTTTAGCCATTCAGTCGGTCAGTCAGTAATTAGGCCTCGCAGGGTAAAACAAGTCAAACATTGGGTCAATCGCTGTTTCTTCGAAGCAGCCGGATACTTTTTAACCATCGGTTTTTCTGTCTGTCAGTCTTTCAGTGACTCACCGTTACTCAGCCAGTCATAGAGTAAGTTTGTTCGTCCAACTGTTGTACGAGTTGTAAGGTATAATGTTAATCTTTTTTGTTAGTACCGACAATATTTTTGGAAGTGATTTCACTTCTGTGTGTTCTTTCTGATATTTGAGCGGTTGTAGCTACAGCGAAATAGCCTTATCGTTGCTGGAAGTATCGACGTCTAGGCTAAAGTTCAGTTCACCATCCTCACGGTAACAAATCGCCAGCATAAATTTGGCTGAAATGCCGGCAATTCTAGCAAAGACTATCATTTAAGACTAGTTTATTTCTTTGCATGTAATAGTATTGAAATTATGGCTTACTGTTACTGACAGCAATATTTCTTTGTTGTAAAGACTACCTCTACTCATAGGATTAGGCGATGTATCCTACTACTGGCCTATGTTTATAAAAAATATATTAAAGTAGGATAAAATATTCTTCCTGTCTTCATTCTTCTTTGCATTGTTTCATGAGTCTGTCTTTTAAGCATGGCCTAGAAGCTGCAAAATGTATAATTTGTTTCTCTAAATTCAAAGAAGAAAGTCTCAGATGCATCCT